GTCGGCACCTTCACTAATCTCTACAACACGGTTCTCTAGGTGTCAGCAGTACAACGTTCGTGACACATTTATTGCACCCTTATGGATCGTGTCCCACTTTGACATCATCCTCATCATAAAATGGTCATTAAGTGCACCAATCAGAGGCACACGCGTTAACCATTGCTAAAACCTTACTATTTTGTCGGAAGTGTGATGTTGATTGCAAAAATAGGTAATAATTGTCGGCACCTTCACTAATCTCTACAACACGGTTCTCTAGGTGTCAGCAGTACAACGTTCGTGACACATTTATTGCACCCTAATGGATCGTGTCCCACTTTGACATCATCCTCATCATAAAATGGTCATTAAGTCCAGACGTTCTGCGTGTTTTCGTCTTTTAGGAAGTCACACATAAAGTTTACATGATTACTGTTAAAATGAGCGAAGTGGTTTTGCGCGAAGTTGTGCAAGCTCGACGCTGATCACATATTGTGCACGAGGACAAGGTAGTAGAGCCAGTAGAAGCAGTTGTAGAGCAGGAAGCACGCGGGAAAGAGGAAGCGACTGTAGCCGTCGATTTCGGAGATCTTCTTCGGCTTGCGTGTGGGCAGTTCGTCGCTCTTCGGCACTGGGAAGTCTTCTTCGTCGCCCAGGGACGGCAACAAGGCAGCGTTCAGGGCATCGGTGATGGCTGGGTGCTCCGATTTGTATTGTTTCTTGTCTGTCGGAAAGATTCTCGACTTGCTCATCTCCTCCGGCAAGAAGACCTCGATCAGGATCCTCTCCATCTCCTCGCAAAATTCCAGCTTCCCGCGCTTCAGGGCAAGTGCTGTGGCATTGGCAGAATCAATGAACTTTCTGGGACTTGCGTCGGGATAGCCCGCGGAGGAGAAATATATTCCCGACGCTGAGGGTCCCCTCTGGTAGAAGACCTGTTGACACGTCGTGCACCATCGCGACAATTCATAACGCACGGCGTTGCGCACGTCGTCCTTCCAGTCCTCGGTTTTGATTCGTCGGGCAATGTGTGAGGCGATCGTGAACTCGATTAGCACACCCACGTCGAAGATGATGCATGCTATGTTCCAGACGTCGATGGCTTTTATGTAGGAGACTCTGGGCAGGCTAGATGCGACTCCTGAAGCCTGCGTGAGAATACTGAGCAAGGTGAGAAGTCCCAAGGTCACACGCGCCGGCTTCGCGTCCAGATCCACCCAGAAACTGTGCCACGAGGCGACAATAATGAGGAAGTTCGGAATGTACACACTCGACAGCCACGAGCCCAACTCCCGCCTGAGGGTGAAGCTGATCTCAAGGCAAGTGTAGTTTCCCGTGGATGTAGAGGACTCGGCGCTGCAATCGTACGAGATGACATTTTCAGGGCTGTTGAACTCGGAGATTTGCATATCTGGAGCCATGGAAATGGGAGTGTCGTTGTGCCATACAAATTGCAACTCAGAATACTCATACCCATAGCTCCCAATATTCATGGTACAGTCCTGGCTGTCCATAGGGAAGTTGGCTAGATCCATTTGACACGAAAACCGCATTGTAATTTTCTGGCTATACAGGATGTTGCCATCAGGCGAGATTCGAGTCAGGTAATTGGGCATGGTCATCTTGTGCAAGCGTCCTTCTTTGCCGTTGCGAAAGAAGAGGTCAGGCAGCCAGAGCTTCTGTTTGAGCTCGGGCGAAACGAGGTTCTTCGTGAACTGCTTGAAGATGGGGTGCTTGTCCCAGGCCAGACGCGGGTCCCTCCACTCCTGTCGAAGCATCATGTCGGCGGTGTACTCCATCATCCGCACGTCCACGGAGGTAATCGCTGTCACGGTTATGTAGACGACGACGACTGACGGCTCCTTGGTCGCGGCGCCAGGCCGCTCGTGGTTCTGGTAATTCTCGAACAAGTAATCCATGATTTGCTCCCGCATTGATACCCCGTTAACCATGGCGTGAGAGCCAGTGGCGTTTGGTTGTGAGTACGCGAGGTAGAAGAGCGTAAAGACCAAAAGGCGCGTCATTGAGAGGGAGCTGGTGGTGGTTTTGGTCCCAGCAGGCGTAGTTCGTTCAAAACGCTTTTCCTCCCTCACAAAGGAAAGCTGTAACACACCTGCGGTTGGTACAGGTGCGTCTGGCCAATCAGAGCCGAGCACATCCAGGCGTGACGTGATTGGTCAATTTTGGGCAGAAACTGGTTACGTCCTACCTTTCGCGAAAACGCACAGGTGAGTACACAACGAAGTTGGTAGGGAATGTGATCGATGCTCGCGTAGTCTCTAGGCCGGGTTAACCAGCAGGCATTATTCTTAATTATCTACCCTCTTGTACACTGGAAGTTAATTTGGAACATCACGCAATGTGTTAGAAGTAGGACTGCTTAATCTTGAGTCAGTTTGCGTTAGCATTGACGCATTTCATTAGTTTCGGGGTGATGAAATTAATGATTGCAAGTTTATCGACCCGCTATGTTTATTCCATTTAAATTCTCAAACTTTCTGTTATTACCAGAAAAATGATCAATAAATTACAAGAAACTAGATAGTGACTTAACGTAAAAATACTGATAACCTATTTAACAGCAAGTTTTTCATCATCCACCGATGATTCGCCAGTGATTATAATTCAATATCGCGCCATTATTTGATAGGCTACTTGTCCGGCTATCATTGGTCGGCATAATCTTCAGACTTTCCCTTTGGGTATTTATTGCGATCTCCCAATTAGCTAACATCAGCTGTTTGAATAGAAAAATAATTAAATTTACTCTAGTATGTTTTCTTTACCAAAACCAAATAATAACACCAGTAGCAGCAGTTGTAGATAAAGAAGCACAAGGGAAATAGGACCCGGCTGTAAATATCGATTTTGGATACTCGTCGATTATGCATCCTCTTTGCCTCCAGGCTCTTAACCTTGGTCTCGGTATCGCCAGTTTCTCCTTCCGAAATGCTCGCATCTTCTGCCTCCACACCCTCTTCCTCCGCCTCACTCTCAGCCTCAACATCTTCCATGTCACCGGTATCCCCCAATTTCGGACCTGAAAGACTTCCGAATTCCGGCTGTAGTACGTCAGCAGTAAAGAGAGTCAATCCATCTGCGACGTCCGAGTAGATTGCATTGATCAATTCGCTTTCCAGATCGCCACTTCCACCATGTTCCTGTCGCTGGACGAAGGCCTTTCTGCAAGCCAAGCACCATCCTGCCACCTCCCAGCGTAGCGCCTCGCGCGCGTTCAGCCTCCAGCGAATCGGCTTCTTTCGAGTCCGTTTCCTCATGTTCGACGCCACCGCAAACTCAATGAGCACGCCCACGTTGAAGGTGATGCAGGCGATGTTCCAGACATCGATCGCCTTGATGTAGGAGACGCGTGGAAGGTTCTGGGATATCCCCGACGCCTGAGTTATCATCCCGAGCAGGGTTAAGAGACCTAGAGCAACCCTAGCCGGTTGCGCGTCTATATCCACCCAGAAGCTGTGCCACGAGGCGATTACGATGAGGAAGTTTGTGATGTAGACACTGGAAAACCACGAGCCGAGTTGACGCGAGAGTACGAATGTGGCGTTCAAGCAGGAGGAGTTCTCGGCTGTTGGAAAGGCATTGCAGTCCTGTGCCACGATTCTATCAGGACTGTTAAACTCAGCAATCTGCATGCCCTTGGCCAGCTCTACGGGTTCATTTTCGCGCCAAACAAAACGCAGCTCTTTGAGATTGTAGCCATAGCTACCGATGTTGATGTGGCAGGTCTGCGAGTCCATGGGAAATATCTTCAAGTCCATTTGACACGAAAAGCGCATGGTTATTTTTTGGCTGTAGAGAATCATTCCATCCGGAGATATGCGCGTTAGGTAGTTTGGTAGAGTCATCTGGTGAACCCGTCCTTCCTTGCCATTTCGAAAGAACAAATCCGGCAGCCAAAGTTTGTCTTTTAGTTTCGGTGAAACAAGATTTTTGGTGTAGTTGCGAAAATGTGGAATGGTATTCCACGCGAGACGCGGATCTCTCCATTCCTGACGCAGAAGGAGGTATGTCGTGTAGTCCATCATGCGCACATCCACCGCTGTAATCTCAGTTATTGTCATGTAGACGGTAACCACTGTCGTGGATTTATCGAAAGAGCCTGGGATTTCGTGGCTTTGGTAATTTTTAAACAAATACCCCATCAACTGTTCCCTTATCGGCACTCCTTTGACGTCAACATCTGTCAAACTGTTGCAATAGACGAAACAAATTAGACCTGAAAGCGCGAAAGCCTTGAGTAGGCATTTCATGGTACTGTTCTATCAAAATATCGAGTGTTTTCAACTCAGGCAAACTGCTAGAACGGACACAACGACGCACGTGATTGGCTGGAATTTTGCTGCAGCGAGATTGGCTGCAATTTGCTGCAGTCTCGGCCGCATTACTTTTCGCCATTTTAAATGCGAGTTTAGTTAAATTTACTTAATTACTGTAGAGCATAGTTAAGTGAACTTGGGTAAATTACTCGACGTCATTAACAGTAGGTAGTTTAACAGATAAATTCCTGTTTCTCCCCAAAAAAGGCCTTTCATGGGAGCCATTTTGCTGTCTTATCCAAAATTGTCGAATAGTACAATCAAGCAACCCATGCATATTAAACTTAAATCGTACAAAAATAGTGTATTGGAGAATTGCGGGGTGACGGTACGAGACATTACTGCGGTAAATTTCATTTGATGTATCGATTGATTTAAATATTAAAATTTCTCAACGTGAAACCTCTTGAAGATGGGTCGTTATGCAACCGATTGCAAAACGAGGTTATCAGAATCCTCTGGCTAATGTGCCCATTCGATCTGATGAATGAATGTTGGAACGCATTTATCTTTAATCCTCGAAAACTTTATCTTAACCATTATACCAAGCTACCTCTAAATACTTTGTTCACATCACCAGATGCTTAACTAGATGATCCTGAAGGTTTTCAAGCAGATGTGAGAACCATCCAACAGAGATCCACAAAATTTACAAATTCGAATAATTTGCACTTCGACAGGTCAACAGGAACCAATGACAGCGTTCTCTTACAGCTTTTCGCATTGGTCAATTGACGGTAGCACCATCCTGATCATCCGCCACCGTCAAAGCCATACTCATCTCACAACTCGACTTTCAATCCCAATATAGTTACAAGGTATTTAAAAGGCTTCAGCTACACAATAGCTATTCGGCATTATCGTGTTTGCAAAGGGCTCTAGTGACGCGTTCTCAGCTGAAATTTGTACAAATGCTGCTACCCGTATCGTTGTCGCGACTCCCAACCCATTGGCCCCCTTGACCGTGTTATTTGCACTGATTTGAATGAAGAAACACAAGAACGGATAAACGGCTAAAACTACTGAATGCCACGACCGGGTACCACTGTTATAGTAACATGGTGGACTACAAACCTAAGCTTAATGCTAAAAACGCACCACCTGTTTCACTGCGTGCGAACAAAACCTGTCACCCTGAGATGTATTTCAATAACACAACGCTTTGTAAACAGACATGAGAACCTCAGCCCCCCTATTCATTCCATCCTACAACAAGTAATGTTTTGGCATTCTTGACAAATTTTGATAAACTTCATAAAGTCAGCGAGGAGTCTACAGATGCTTCTGGGTTTGAGGCACGCTCCCCATGCGCTGGGGGTTCTGGCTGGGGTAGTGAATGCCCAGTGAAGGGAGGTCCTTTGCGATGCCCTGTGAGATGGAGGGTTCGTCGTCATTACTAGTCGGCAGAGCGGTCGCCTGCTGCTGCTGCATGAGCGAGGCAACGGACGATGGGGGTGGTGGAGGGGGAGGGAGGTTTGCGAGGGCTGCTGCTCCCACAGCCGCTGCCGGAGGTGGTGGTGGCGGTGGCGGCGGTGCCAGTAACGGAGGAGGCGGCGGACCCCGTTGGCCAGCCATAAACGCTGCTAAAATGGAGACGTGTGCGGCGAGTTACCTTGTCGGGGGCCAGAAATTATGAAAAGACTAGACTCAACGGGCCAAGATTAGGTGATTGTGACGATATTATGTATTTTAGCAATCTAAGACGAAAATTATGGTGGCATAGGTATCTCAAAACTACCAGCTTCCTAGTCAAATTAACCTTTATAAACGCTAATAGACATTCAGTTTAAGGAAACGTAGACTAACATTAACCGATGGAACTGTGAAAAATGCTTAAGTAGAGTGTGCAACAAGCAATCAATGAAGGATGCAAACAACTTACCACTGGGATCAACAACAGGCGGAGCAAGCTGCACCACGGGCATGGGAAGAGGTGGGGGCAGCGGAGCCGAGAAGAATGACCCAGCGGGTCCTGCAATTTGGTACGCAGAGGTGGAAGGGAGCAACGAAGGTGGCGGCGGCGCTGGTGGAAGTGGCAGGCCCGGAACGGGTGGCAGGGCATCCGCGGCGACGGCACCATTCACGCTGATTCCCGCATTCGCCGCAGCCAATGCCGCTGGAGACTTGCCCCAATTTAGAGTTAATCGATGGCCCTTGAGGATCAGGCGATCGTAACTACGCTCAGCGGCTTTCTCAGCCGCTTCGCGAGTGGTGAATTGTAGGAAGGCACAGTGTTGTTTGTAGTGTATGCTGACGGAACGCAATTCCCCGAATTGGTAGAAGTGGTCGCGCAAGTCCTTCTCCGTTAACTCCTCAGGCACACCACCAATGTAGAGGGTGGTGATGGTGCGATCCTCCGGCGGTGTCAACTTCGGCATCGAACGGTACTTGGACAGAAGCTTGGCGGCCACAGGATCGTCATTGCCGTAGTAACGATCACGAAGGTTTTGGTCGGAGAGTGGGTCATCAGGATCGGTGGGTTTTTCGTGCCTGTAGGGACACTCTTCACCACGGCGACATTCACCTTTCACCCAGAACGAGCAAATGTGAGGCCGGTTCCTGCGGTAGTATGGCGTGGTACGAGCCAGTTTAAGCAGCAAATCGGAGCTTGTAGTGCCAGCTGCAGTGTTAGAACCGGCTATGGCCTTGCCAATGAGTTCATGGCCGCCATAGGGAGCAGTAACATCACCTGAGGCTTCTAGTTGCTGCTCAATTTGTTGGTGGAAGTACTCGCGGTTTACATCACTGCGAGGGAGTTGCTGATTTAGTCGGAGGGCCTTATCCCGTACTTCGACAGGTAGGCCATATTCTAAATCAAAGATGCAAGTCTGGCAGACATTTTTGACTTTGGCACAGGTCTGGCAGATTTCAGTTTTTTTAAACCGAGCTTTAGGGCCGGGGCTCCACCGGAAAACTGTGAAGGGACGAGAGCAGATTTTGCACTCCTTTCCGTAGCGCTCTTTCATCATGCGCACAAACGGGCTCGGTCCAAGGCATGTCTCACAGAGAATCGGGAAGGTCTACATGCAAAAAGTTATAATATGTTCAATTTGTACTGTTCAGATGCATGAAATCACATTATTTGCCTACTTATGCTTTGATTGCCCTAGCCCAGTGGTTGCAACAAAGATCGAAGTCAACCTCGGAAAACAGCTAGCCAAAGTAATAATCTTAATGGTCATTAACAGGTAGGCGCCAAAAAGATGCGAAAATCTATGAAAATCGACATATGAATAAACTATTAGCAGAAAATCCACAATATCTGTAGGAAGCAGAATGATTATGATGACCAAAGTAGAGTACGTAGGTGAATAGCAACCAAGGTACAATAATTTTAGGCAAAATAGAATATTCTTGTGGTATATTATCATAGCAGCTTACAGAATCTTCCCAATTTTGCCTGTTGTACGTATTCGACGTCTTCGACGAAGCCATTCGGAGAGACGCACCAATAAAAGAAAAGTGCAGCTCATTCAAACGCCGATATTTTTCTCGATGATATGCCAAGTTCGTATCATATAATATTGATATTGTGCCATTTTGATTATAAATTTTCTAAAAAAACATTTCTTGTAAAGGTTCTATGGCTTTTAATGCATTTCTCTGAGTTTAAAGAATTTACTTTGGTTTTTTATTTGTCTAATGCGTTTTATTTTACTTCAAATTGCCTCCGGTATATAGAGTAATTGGAATTAGTTTTCTTTTTTGTAATTATGTCTTTAATATCATAAACGCAATGTCACCTTGCGTTTCTTACATTATATTTATCGAATCAAATATGGTGTAGTCTTTGAAAGGTCGGAAGATAATACGCTTAAGTGAATTGCCAGGTATCTGGGGTTCTTTGCAAAAATCAAGAAGCTTGCTGCTGTGCGAAATTTTGCGATCATAGGGTTCAAGGTATTTTTTAGCTTGTAACTTTTGTTTACAGTTCACCATACGCCATTAATATTAACTAGTATGTTTAACTGCCAATAAGTAGTGGAAAACACTTCTCTGACTCTTGTCTTTGTTCTTATTGTCTTCAATTCGACTAAATTCGATTTTCGTAAATGGCAACCTAAGCGGAAGATATATCGATGGTAGCTTATATCTAAATTAAAATTTAAGGAGTTAGGTCTTTATGATAAACATTTCATTTTGGCTGTTTGTCATCATCTAACAGCGGTTGTTTGGTAATAAAGTGGTTTTATTAAAAACGCATTTTTAGGACCCTTATACTTGACTGCATCACATTTTACTGAAATTTGTGGTTCGAAAGTTACACTATGTGCATATGCAGCCTTCTGTTACCGGGATTTTAATTGTAACGAGATGTTTTCGAACACATCATTCTTTAGCACTTTCCCACTCATTGCATAATATTTTAGTAGTATGCTACTAAGGTCCAGGGTTTATTAATGGTACTATGCAACATTTGTTAGTCTAAAATAGCAATCGTGGACTCTGTTTAGATTGGCCGTCTGATGCCGTATTTTCGCATGATTGATACGTCCTTTGAAATCAAGCAGTAATTTAAATCTATTTTTTGTTCACTTTAATAAGAAAATCAATTAATCATTGTGACCGACTCTGATAGACGCGAAATTTAAGTTATCACCACGACAGTCCCATAAAGAGTCACTTTGTACAAAAATATAGGGAAACGTGACAATCATTAAATTTATCCCAATCGTCAAATGCCTTCAATTTTCTTCAGCATTTTTTTCCACTGACCGAACATTGATTGTGATGAAACTTTCGACCCAAGATATGTTTTTCACAGAAGACTGAAAAATTTTTGAAATCTCTTGAGATAAAACCTGCATTGGTTCGTGTTTATTTTAATTTAGCAGAGCTCTTGAACCTATTTCGAATTGGCCATTCTCATGCTAGGCATATGACTTTTTAAATTGTTGATATGGAAGTTGTGGCGCATTAAATAGTTTTGACAGTAAAGAAAGCACCCCACAAACAGAGGAAAATTTCGCTCATATTGGAATTCATAGGGGTGTTGGCATTTGGCACGGCAATTTCAGGGCACACCAAAAGCTTAAACACTTTCATGTATTCGTGATCTTTAATCACGAATAGAGTAGATCAGCGGTTAATCAAAGACAGCAATCGCTAAGAGAATCCATTAAAATGGCGGAGCAGTAATCACGGTTTATACTGATGGACGGTGGATGACGGTGTGGCTCTTTTTTGTAATGTTTAAAAAGGTCTTGTATACTTTTCCTTCGTTTTTAAAGCCAGAGCTTGCGGGCTCTCTCGCAATGACACGCATGAAGCATTTAACGATCAGTCTGTTTTGCATGAGAGGATTGCAATATAGTGAAAGTAAACAGAAAAGTGTTAATCACGAAGGTATCAAGAGACGGCTTTTGGATAAGAATAAATTCGTTTACAATCAATTTTATTTGCGTTATTTCGTAAAAGCTTGTTTTTTAATCTTGGCTGGGTAAACATTTGCGTCAGGAAGGAAGTGAAAGGAAGCAGGCAAGTGAAATTGATGTATATGAACTGTCAAAATTTAATTAATGGAATGGCAAAATAAAATATGAAATTTGCTACATATATTGCTTTCTCTTGACTAAGAAGAACATAGCCTTCAAAAATGCAAACAAATTGTATTTTTTAAAGGATGATCAGTATTGCTGCTGGTTTTGACGACAAAATTGTTTTGAATACGACTTAAATAAACCGAGTGGAGGACTTTGTAAACTCAATTAATGGTTTCAAAAACAGTAATTAAGAAAAATTAAGCGAGGATTTTTGAATTCTTAAATTTGCTAACGTCATGATCTTTTATTTTCATAACATTCAGATGTAGTCCATTGGTATACGCAAGTGATAAAAAAACTTTCCATTTGAAGTCCTTAAAATAAAAAAGGTGCAGAAAAGTGAGAAAAAATATATTAGGAAGTTATTCTCTCAAAAACAAAGCGACTTATTCAGAATCTTTCTTTATCAAATAATGTGTTTATTTCAATTCCTGCGGAATCACATAGGTTCGTCCTTGTCTATTTATGCAAGCAGTTTTGTGAATCTTGCAGGTAGAAATTTTCAGTTATTTTGGATGACGGGAAAATATGAGTTGAGTAAATAATGTTGCATTTTTACACTTTTAATTTAAATAATGTACGATTTATAATAGTAGGACTCATCCAGCAACTAGCGTGGTGTCCCATTTGGTGACATATCATTTTAGTAGATATTCTCTTGTCATAAAATTTGTGTGTAGAAACAAGCGCTTAGCGATAACTGTATATGTTATTCTAACTAAGTAGTTTATTGTTAGAGTGTGACAAATTCAGCAACTTCGTCTTGATTTCAGGATTTTTAATCAGTTTTCTTTTGACTTCTGGTACGTAGCGCCTCAATGGGCAAGTTTATTCATACTGTGAAATCACATAATACTTCCTGCTTACCCATCTATTATTACATTTTCATTTTACTCTAAATAACTGGTTTTGTCTAAGCTTTGAAAGTTTAATCTTATATGCAGATGAGTATTGTACGATTCACAAATCTTTACCACACAAGTTATTTTTACTGATTTTTGTGTTTTTGTGAATCGGTAGTCTGAGACTGTATTACCCCAATTCAATAGACTATTACGAACATCTTATCTGTGTAAAAAATATACCTCTGTACCCAGTGTTCATTCGTTTCTTAAATTTTGGCATTGTATTTCGACAAACTACATTATCAAGGACTTGTTGGGGAATTATATTTCTAGCTAACCAATAGTTGTTCAAGTTTTAAACGTAAATTTTCTGTTTTTTGTTCCAGTGTAAGGCTATTTAATTCTGATCCATTGTGCTTATTATAAACTCACGTAATGGTGCTCCCTAAGGTATCCGTTCACAATTGTATGAACCGATGTCCTTGTAATTACTTATGGTAGCACTAATGTTAAATGCCAAAACGTTTTTCTAATCCAGCTAAATCAAAATGAACCTGCTTCCTCCACAACCGAGTCGAACTCTATCACAAAAACCCAACCTCTTCCTTCATCGGCCCAGTTTGCTTTCTGCCCGAAGTCGATCATCGTTGGTTACGGAATCCGTTTCGTAAGCGTCACTCCTTAAACATTGATCTTGATATTAGTTAGCGTTTTCACGCTAGTTAGCTACGTTCCGGGCTTAATGAACATCCATTTTTGAATATGATTATGAGTCTGCCTCAAATGGCTAAGTCTGGTTGAAGTTGTCTGGTATGGCCAAAACGCGTTATTCATTCACCTGATGTTAGAAAATGCCTTCTGGCGCCATTGACATACACTCCATAAAGAAAACGATAGAATATTAGACAAACAGTATAATTACCATGGAATTCGGTGTGAAATTTGAAAGCATGCCCAATCTTTTTGACACGTCTTGCCTTATCTGGGACTGACACAGCATACTTGGGGCTGATAATGAAGCTGAATTGATCACCTTTAGGGCCTAGTAATCTCTACGTGCGATCTTACCGAATTAAAACACGGAGTATGTGGTTCAACTGCACGTCGATGTGTGTTCTTTGTAATCACACGTATGTCACCATAATCATCAGCTAATGGTTTATGCCTTCAATGAATCCATACATTTGAGTTATTGATGCTAGTTGATTTTTGACCCTGGTGTTGAACCACGACACTTAGGGACATGGATTAACTAACCCTGAATTTACCTAGTTTGGTATTGTATTTCGTTTATATATGCAAAATTCAGACGAAATGAAGAAATCGAGGGCCGGGGCCTTAGTGGCGACAAGTACTTTGTCCGTTGTAATCTTGCTGCGGGTTGGAAGTCGAGTGAATCGTCGTACATTTCAACGGCTGGGCTTTGGCCCACAGTCCCGTCACCTGTTGAACCGGATCTTGAGCAAGACGAAGAATTACGCGACTACCTGCGCGCCAACCGATTCCACTGGTGGAGTGTCGTCACGTATCTCTTAGCCCTGACAACATACCTGGCTGACGTCGGCTGCGACATCTATCTCACAATTCAGTACTACAAGCAAGTAAGAGACTACCTTCAATAGCTCTCAAACACGCGTTTAACAGAAGACATCCCTGTAGGAGACAATTTTCCTGCATTTGTGTGCACAGGGCGAAGGGTACTGGGGCACGCTGACGGCGTTTTTCGTTCTGTTCTCGTCGCTCATCGTAATGAGCTTCAGTCTCGAGTGGTACGTGCTGGATCTACGCGCCAAAGTGGAGCCGCATCACTCCCTCGCTGCATGGGCCTGGCGAATTGGCTTTCATGTTCTTCAAATGGCCCCGATTGTGAGGTACGCGTTGTTATCGTGGCACATCGAATAGGCCATCTCACCTGATCGCTGGAACATCCACCACGTCGTGGGCGTTTGTTTGGATGACTTGTTCACAGTGTTGAGTCGCAGCGTGCATTTTTTTTGTAAACAGTAACTATCTGCAAAACCACAAGGCCCACGATCGACCAAGCACGACGATTTGAAACACTTCACAACGCAAACGCCCTATTCTAGACAGCAATAGTTACACCAATTGACATTGAACAGCAAGTGTTCACAACTATATGCCGAGCAATTGTTTACCACTTATGAGGTATGGGGGTGTTCCTCGTCTACTTGAGATATATCAGTAGTTTCGCCTGACCTCTGACCTTACCTGTCAAATAAGTGAGAAGTGCCGAGATTGTTAGCATCCAACACAACCCTCGGTGAAAGCACAATCGATCTAAGTTCCATTGGTTGAGGCTAGATCAAGTTCTCATCACTGATAACTATCTACAATATGGGATAATCAAGCCAGCATCCTACTTGCTTTATACTCCATTTAATTGCCAATTCAATTTCACTAACACTGCAAAATAACTATCATTTGGTCGATGAGAACAATGGCATTTTAGTAATGCTGAAGCCCACTCTACTGGTCGGTCTATAGTAGCACTGCAATTCGTAGTCTTTAAATGTTTGAATTCATTTTTTCAGATTTATTGTTGGAGCTAATTTTTTTTAAAAGATAGAAATGTTTTCGCAGTCGTTCCTGGTTTTGAAGGGATCTGGCACAAGGTCTTTCAGAACACTGAACGACAAGTCTACGTGAGTCACGTGACCTCCCAGAATAGCTAAGTTTACGAAGTCAACTGATAAACAACACATTTATACGGATTCCAACATTGGCAAGTGCTTCTAATGCACGAGAATCAATTATTGGTGTCGTTAGCATCGCATTCGTGTCTTGTGAAACGTGCAATTATTGAAGCAAACGTTTTAGAAGTGGTGATTTTGATCTTAGTGAGCGAAAGTTTGAAGATGCGGAATCGCAAGCGCTGGTGGATGAAGACTCAGTGCAAACGCAGCAAGAGCTTGCAGCAGCTCAGTCGGAAGTCCCTCAAAGACCCAGTTCCAAGCGGTTGCATCAGATGGCAAAATGCCAAAACATGGAAGTCGGGTCCCCCACATGTGTTGACCGGATGACTTTCCCTGCCTGCCAGCCAGTAACAAAAAGGTCTCCTTGTGTAAAAGTTAGCAGGGTGATGAAAAGTATGCTTTCCTACGAGAATCTTAAACGTAAAAGCTGTTGTGGGTCGAAGCCGGACATGAGGGGCGTACCAACAACGGGATCGGTAGTTCTCCCGCGCGCAGCATATTCACCAGACTCGACCACATTCGACTACCATTTCGCTGTCACCTTTGTAGGCATGCTGAAAGGCACGGTATTTTGGAATCTTATAAGTTACCTTCTGGCCAAGCCGTCGAAGGACATGATCGAGTGTCACGCACCAAAGCCGATTCTCTTAGCCACAGGTCTGGTAAGAAATGCCTCGTCTTCTTACACTCTTACAGATTTCTTCTTCGAGCCTAAAATTATGCTTAAATTGGAAATATTTCCATGGTTTTTTTGTGATTTTGATATAGTCGGACGCCAATTTCCAGAACACCAATCGACAACTCCACGTCACTTGCTTAACCTCTCAGAATTGCAGAGTTTGGGATGGCAACTCGTAAACAGGTCATTCGGCACTGCAATTTAAGCGAATTCCAACAAGAAAGCAGGCTTTTAAAAAACGGGAAATTAATTTTTGGTGTTGTCTGTGCTGGCGTTGTGTCTTGTGGAACGCGTAATTATCGGCTCAGGCGTTAGAGAAGTGGTGATTTCGATCCTACTCACGGCAGCCTCGGAAGCTTGAAAATGCGGAATCGCAAGCTCTACTGGATGAAGATTCAACGCCAACGCATCAAAAGCTTGCAGCTCAGTTTGGAGTCACCCAAACAGCCATTTCCGAGCTTTTGCACCAAGTGTGAAAAATTCAAAAACGTGGAAATGGGGTCCCACAGAAGTTGCCCCATCACAGCTTAGGTCGACTTATAAACGCACGCATTTCACTGTATGCCCAGGGTTCTGATCCAAAGTAACCCCGTTCATCGACGCCTAAGAAGATTCTCCTGGTAATCTGGTGGGACATGAGGGGTGTAGCTTATTACGAGCTTCAGGAAATTGGTCAGATGGTGATTCCAGAACTTGATCAAAAAGGCCATTTACTGGGCAAGGATGCTGGCATGACAACGCTCGACCATCTCATGTTGTTTGCGCGACTCAGAGGACCCTTCTAAACGTGGCGTTAGAAGTTCTCCCACACGCAGCATATCCACCAGACTCGGCACCATTCGACTATCACTTGTTCCGGTCAATGCGGCGGCACGCCTTAGTGGATTTACGCTTCAAAATTCTGGACGATGTGCTCAACTTTGTCGATTACTTAATTGCCTCGAAGCCTGCAAATTCCTTTCGCGACGGCGTACTTTACGTTACCTGGGAGATGGCCCAAATTTATAGAAGTCGATGAACAATATTTCTATGATTACGCTCAATGTTCCCTAGTTTTTGTGGTAAATAAATTAGCTGAAATACCTGTAAAGAGTAATTCTTACTCCTGATATTAAGCGGCTATCTAGTTTTTTGAGATTTTCACGAAAATGCCACCCGGCTGTCGGTAACAGCTCTTTTTTGAAACCGAGCCACACCACTCTCTGCCTTGATTAACTGCATTTCTCGCGCCTCCAGACAAACAGATGGCTTAGTATACGGCCTACAAAGTAGACGAAAAGGCATCAGCACGCAGGAGGCGGTGCAACTGACAAAACTTTGGCGTTGTGAGAATGCTGACGCCGCGATGCTTCGCGTCATGGAGGGTTTCATGGAGGCCTCTCCACAGATCCTTCTTCAACTCTACATCATTTTTACCCAGCCCGCCTCCCGGTCACCGAGTCTGCGTAAGCTGGCGTTTACCAGACACACGATCCTCCATCCGATCACTCGCCTTCCCTACGTTTCTGCTTTTCCCTAGTGTTTCCGCAGTACGCTTCGTGTGCCACCTCACTGCTCTCAATCGCGTGCTGCCTCACAACCTACCAGGTGGCGCTTCGCAGTGTTCGTGTGGAGAAGCGCGACATGCAGTGCTGCAGCCCCGCGCCACCGCTCTTCTTCGCCTGGAAGCTCTGTTTCCTCAGCAGTCGACTCCTCGCTCTGGCCCTCCTGGCAGTGGGCCTGCGCCACCTCCCTGCTCACCCCATCCCTCCCCCGTGGCCCTTTTTCGCCTGCCTCCTCGTGCACTGGTTGGTGTCGTTCGTGAGCCTCGTGAACATCGGCACGACCTTCTGCACCCACACTCCCGGCACCCCGCCGGAGTTGGCGTTCGACGCCACACTGGCCGTCATGCACTGCTTCGACGTGATTAACGTGAGAGAGGGGCACTCGCGTTGGTACTACACCTGCTGGTACACCGCCATCTTCATCGAGAACGTGGCTGCTGCGTTTGTCTGGTTATCGTTGAGTGGGGCGAAGGGAGAATCATCTATTGTCTATCCCCTCGTGGTGATTATCATGTTCCTCGTTGGCCTACTGCTCATGATCTGCTACTACAAGCTTGCTCATCCTGCACTGGCGGTGAGTTTTAGCGCTTTTGCGTATTTGAGTCAAACACTAATCGCCTTCTCTCCTTGGAATTTATCACTTGTTCGCCGTGTTCGACAAGCGGTAATGCAAGTTTGATCTCAGTTATTGGACTGAATCATCAAACTTCGATTTTAAAGTCCGCCCTAATTTGGAACATTTTTTCTTTTAGAAATCGAGTGAGCGCGATCTGAGGGAGAAGAACTGTCATTGGACGACAGCTACAAATGCTCAACTTGTGTGATTGGCGGCAATAAACAGCACTTTGGTGTTCCTGAATTGCCATTGGAACAGCCAATGTACTGATACTAATAATGAAGTTCTCCGTGATTGGATCGATTTGACGAGCTCCTTGTTTAATCACACAAACAGCGGGAGTAGCGCGGAACAGACGAGGTAACTTAGGTTAGCAAAGGGGAAGATTTGATCAAAATGTGTTCTGCGAGGGGAAGGTGAAGGTTTGTTCATTCATCGAAAAATAACCAATAGTGTCAACGCTGCCACTCATCACTCAAGTGGTTGATCGTGACAACTCATATTTACGACGCTTAAAGCCATCTGCAAGTGGGCTAATAATGTAGTCTAACGGGCTGTGGTAGGCACATAAATCAGAGAAGTCGATTAATTGTAGAATTTACTGCGAGGAAGGCAAATGTAACACACAAAGTAGCGTAAAATAAAACATCAGGACCGGTAAGTGGAAGGGTTTGAGCAACTACAAAGGCATATTTGCATGCTTCTTCCATGGATTCTCGAGACGTTTGCGCCGCAGCATGACGAGATCAGAGCAGAGACGAAGCCGAGTTGTTCGCGGATCAATAATGCTATCGATGAAACCACGAGCGGCGGCCGGGAAAGGATTCGCGAATGCGCGCGAATAGTCCTCCTCGGCCTTCGACTTGTCCTCCTCATTACGAAAAATAATTTGTACAGCGCCCTTAGCTCCCATCACAGCAATCTACGGGGGGAAACGCGGTGAGCATCACTTAATAGCTACAAGTACACGAAGTGGCCTAATCGTCAGTCTACCTCAGCTGTGGGCCAAGCATAGTTAACATCACCGCGGAGATGCTTGGAGCTCATCACGCAGTAGGCACCGCCATAGGCCTTGCGAAGAATGACAGTAAGCTTTGGCACAGTGGCCTCGGAGTAAGCAAATATGAGCTTGGCCCCGTGACGTATGATGCCGCCGTATTCCTGGACGGTGCCGGGTAAGAATCCGGGAACGTCAACGAAAGTTATCAGTGGGATGTTGAAAGCGTCACAGAAACGGACAAAGCGGGCGGCCTTCACGGATGCATTGATGTCTAGGCAGCCGGCAGCAACACATGGCTGGTTAGCGACAACACCGACCGTCTGACCACCAAGGCGAGAGAAACCGACTACGATGTTTTTGGCGTAGTTGGGCATGATTTCAAAGAACTCACGCTCATCCACGATGGCCTGTTAAACTTATAAGTTTTGTCAATTAATGACAATGCACAGGGACAGTTAGAAATGGGGCAAAAACGACTTACGCGAATGACATCAAGGATGTTATAGGGGGTTGTGGGATCAAAAGGCACGACTGAATCAAGAAATGGAACCATGCGATCAACAGGGTCGTGACACTCACGAATGGGGGCAGCCTCACGGTTATTCGAAGGTAGATACGACATGAATTCGCGCAGATTCAGGAGAGCATCGACGTCGTTGTCGAAAGCGTTGTGAGCAACTCCAGAGATGGTTGTGTGCGTTCTCGCGCCACCAAGATCCTCCGAGATAACACTTTCGTTAGTTACTTGTTTGATAACATCAGGACCAGTGACAAAAAGGTGAGAGGTATCATTGACCATAAAAACGAAGTCAGTCAAAGCGGGTGAGTAGACGGCGCCACCAGCACAAGGCCCGAGAAGGAGAGATATCTGGGGAACAACGCCAGAGGCATTAACGTTCCGCTGAAAGATTTCTGCATAGCCAGCAAGAGACGCCACACCCTCCTGGATACGGGCACCACCAGAGTCATTAAGGCCGATTACTGGAGCACCGACAACTAGAGCCTGATCCATAACTTTACAGATCTTCCTTGCGTGGGCCATACTCAACGTGCCACCGAAGACAGTGAAGTCCTGGCTACAAATACAAGTTAGAACATAAAGTGGAAATAGAAAAACGCAAAAAGAAAAACTGATTGTAACAAACCTGAACAAGAAAACAGTGCGACCGTGAATTGTACCGCGTCCAGTAACAACGCTATCGCAAGGAATTTTACATTTGTCCATAGCGAAGTTGGTGCAATCATGCTCAACAAATGCGTCGTACTCCGTAAAGCTACCATCGTCAAGAAGAAGATCTATTCTCTCACGTGCAGTAAGCTTCCCTTTTTTGTGTTGAGCAGCTATCCGTTCAGCGCCACCTCCAAGTAGGACATCCTGTCTTTTCTTCGATATCTCTTTCTGAATGCCAACATTACGATCAAATGCATAAGTTTTGGACTGAATCAACGCCCTTTGAGCGCGACGAACAGCGGTTGCATTCAACCAATGAAAGGCAAGAGGTTCCACACGAAAGGCGAAGTTCATTTAATGAAGAACTTTTAAAATCTCGCCTTTTGGGGTCAAATAAAAGAAGTTGAATTAATTTATCCTTAAATGTAATAGTAAAATAGGTAAAATATATTATCTTAAGTTTTGGTTACACAGTTGTTTTAAATAATTTTGTTATAATATCCGCCATCACCGCCATTGTCACAATTTGAAAATGTCTGCCGAGGAGAGGAAAGCCGAGAATGCGCAGGCCGTAGAGGTGCTCAGTCGCGAGGTCCAAAACCTCGACGAAAATTCTTTTCCAACACTAAAATCAATCGGGGAGAATGGTATGGTCTTTCCTTTTACTTAAACCCTTAGAATTATTCCGTCTGCGTGGTGGCATTTCGGATACTCTGGACGTTGTCGATAATAAGCGCGTTAAAATTCGTGCTAAAGTTAACATTCCTGTGGAACAGTATCCCACAATAAATTTCGTTGGTAAACTTCTTGGCCCTGGAGGGCAGACCCTTCGATCAATCCAGGAGGAAACGCGAACCAAGATGGCAATCCTCGGACACGGTTCTCTCCGCGATGAGGCTAAAGAAAAGGAGCTTCTGTCTGGTGGAGACCCGAAGTATCAACATTTAAAACAGCCTTTGCACTTACAGATTGACTGTTTGGCGCCTCCTGCTGAGGCGTATTATAATATATCCCATGCCCTGGCTCAAGTTAAGCGTGTGATGATGCCGGTAAGAAGCACGCATTGTACTTATTGAATCTAGGAAAATGTCGGCCAGCAAAACGCCCCCTGGGGTGCCAGTCAGCCCAACGCGCCTGCTCGTGGTGGTTCACCAATGCGTGGACGTGGTCGCGGTCGTGGTAATTATGGCAATCAAGGTAGCTATGGTTCCCCCGCAGGATTCGGTAGTCCTCCAAGCCAGCCGATGCGTGGCGGTCGTGGAGGTGCAAGAGGTCGCGGTTGGGGAATGAACAGCAGTGCACCTGCGGGACCACCAGCCGTCCCTGCCCAGGGTGATGTGTATGGAAATGGGATGGAGCAGTACGCGTATCCTGATCAAATGACCTACGACCAGACGCAGTACACCACGACAGGTTATGAGGACTACACGGCTCAGTATGGTATGTTTGTTTTGCCGGCGTGTCAAATATGGTGCGAGTGGCCTGGAATTGTGTTAACTAATCCCTAACTGCCAAATTTTCGACCTAGGACAAACCGATGCTTGGGGCAAAATGCCTACAACCGATAATCGTGGACGTGCGCGTGCCCATCCTTATGCCCGACCCGGAGGGAAGGAAGAAACCGCATGAGTTTTCTAAACGCATAAAATCGTCCGACATTAAACTCCAGCCATGCATTTGCGCTGTTACGAGTCAGCTATCTGTAAAATTGGATATAAACTTCCTCTCCTTAAAATTCATAACTTTTGTGTAGTGAAATATATTCAACCAATTCCCATCGCGCTTGCGTAATCTGTTTTAAATGTTTTCCATTTTGTTAAAGAAACTTCGAAAACAAAATCAACTTTGCCATCAACTTGCGTTCTGCTTTAAATCCGGGTTACCTTAGGCACCCTCGTCTAATAATCGCTTCGATGAATTTGGGGTGACATTGCCTGTAATCTTTGGTTAGCTCTTGTCATGCTGAGCGCGATCGCCTAACCTAGTTTTGTGTTCGAATCTTGGAATTGTGGCAAAATCGGCTGGCGTCTACTTGGATATTGATTCAAAACAAGGTCGGGGTATCGGTGTTATCGGTCCATTTATGTTGTCGGTGAAACCAACGTAATATTTCACGGGGCGTGGTTAGTTTGAGACCTGATGGCAGCCGTTCTTGGCTGCCCACCTATCGTTTGCGACAGTGTTGCCTTCCGATTGCGCGCCCCTGCCGGGACACCAGCGTGGTCTCCTGAAATCATTTAGGATTTCTTTATGTATGCTTCATGTTAATAGCTTTTACCATCCTCTCAGCTTGCTTGGTAAGATTTAATTCTCTCAATTATTTGTTTCCAGCTCTAGCTCCTTTCAGTGTGACATTGCGTCGTCTTTTGGATGCGCGTCTCGTCAAGGGCAAGTGTGGTACTCTTTTGTTAGTGCAATTCTCCCCCAGTTTGTTATTTTTTGCTTTTGTTTTCCTAAATATACATTATTTTGCTTCTCTGCGTTCAGTTTTTGTCGGCCTTGGATGAGTGCGCGTACTTTCAGCGTTTTGATACCTAGTGTTTCGTCAGGAAAATCAATGTTAGGCCACCTGTTATGCCTCGCGTCAACAATTCCCCCCCCCCGGTGCTCCCAACTTGCCTTTAGTATTGTGTGGTTAGCGTGGGCTTCCTGATGAGTCAGTTTGCGTCGTCGCCCAACTCATTGATTTACTGGGAGTAGATGCGCACGGCGCAGCGTTTTGTGGTGCTAGGTTCGCTCCACACAGCGGTTCTTCCCACTGCTCACATCCAAAACCCAAGTTTTCGCTGCCGTCTTGGTGTTTCTGTGACTGTTGTGTCCGTCTTGTGGTCTTCACTGCCGCGGCGAACGCTAAGTTTACATTTCTAACGCAGACTCGTTTTCTGCCATCACGTGTAATTCCGTTTACCCGCTTTCAGTTGACCCTTATCAGGCAATAGACCTTGTGTAATCTGTACGCATGTTGTGTGGTTTTCTCGATCCAACGCTAATCCTGGGATGTGCGCTACCTTTAGGGCGGGCACGACTAAGTTGTTCCCTGTTTCTTACGTTTTTGAGGGTTTAGTTACGCGGATGTCGTATCTTTGAGTATCGACCACCAAATCGGTCTCCCGCGATTTATGACTTGTCATCACAGCCCTCCCAGCTGGTTCTGTTCTCTGTAATGAATTACATGGCCTGGGTAACTTGATAGGTTTTGTCGGCGTGTTCTTGACCGTCCCATTTAGTAACCGTTTACCCACCTACATTACCAGTCTTGCAAATCTTTTTTAAAGGCCGTTCGGAGAAATCTGGTTAAAGGTGGTTAGATTAATTCGGCGAATCCTTCCTGGCCTTATTTTAATACCCTATCCAGCCTGAAACATCACGTGGCTAACGACTCAGCTCTCCTGCACGAACTAGTCGTGGAAAACCTGTGTTGTAGTCTTTAAGAGCATTCTTTCATTGGCACTAGATAGCGCTATGAGATCATGGATTCCACAAAACCACTTCTACGCAAATTATTAGGCTAGCTAACGTATCATAAAGAACTCGAACAACGTCAATTTTACCCTTTTTAAACCCAGTACCGGGCCTTATTTAAATTTCCGCCGTTTTTGACCACGCCACCCAGTGTAACGCCCAACTTCACCCGTTACTGCAAGACGCGCTTGCCAAGTCTCCCTTATTGGTTAGTGTCAGTACCCTCATTCACTTCACGACCAATCAGAACGACGCTCATTTTCACTCCACGATTTGATTAGGTGATGCTAATTTTTGGTGGCAGCAATAGTGCGTGCGACGCTTCTGGTCGTGGGTGACGCGTGCTGCCTACTGTTACCGTGAAAGCGACATTAAAAAGTATGATTTGGTCGTGTCAATTCATTTAAGCTAGCTAGGTTCTTAATTTCAGACCGCTTATGCCCGACAGCAATAATACAATTTATTTGTAGATTCGTCGTGGGTTCGTCAATGTAACGGCCATCGCAAACGGTTGTTCACGTCTAACAACGTAATTTCTGCTAAAAATCACCCATACATAGCGACGTTGCATTCCATGATTGCTTAACTCATTTTAATCACCGTGTCAGGTTGCCAAGATGTTGTCAAGCCGATTTTTATTCCACGATCGTGCTCGTCCAAGTTGTCGCAACAGTCTAGGCAGGTGTGCATTAGCAGCCCCTATTATCACATTTTGATGTAGAGATCTGTCAAAGTTGAATTATTTTTGCTAATAGGTTGCATCAAACTGAGGTCTAGCGAGTTTCTCGGTAACTGATCGTCGAGGCAACAATTCAGTGCCATTAAATTCTGTTCGAACTATTTAATTAGGGTTAGTTGGCTTCAATTCCGTAAAGGTAGTTGTATCAGGTGCCGTCGCGGTCAAATTTCAAATCTATTACTGCAATGATACTGTTCACGACGGAGATATCGATTGTAAAGCCCCCTTGTGGTTTAAAAACACAGCTGGTAATTCTTGAATAGGTTAAAACAACTGGAGGCAGCCACTTCAAGATGACAGTGATTGGCTAGATATGACTGCTAGAGTTTGTCAACAATTCGGAATTGGACGAACTAACAGCGGTACACAGGCGCCTGATCAGTCATGTCCAAACGCATGCGTCTGACCCGGCGTCTATAGAGCTGGCCGATGTGACGCTAGTAAACGGTTGTTTCGGTTGCTATACTGTGATTCCTGCCATCGCTGCTTCTTCCTGCCGATATCTGCACTGACAAGCTTCCAGAATAAATACAATACTATGGAGATGCAGTAGGAAGG